AGAAGGGATTGCCAGCATTTATGTAGTAGAATGTGATAGCATAAATTGATTTCATTTGAGGAGTAGTGATAAGAAGTGTTCCTTTATCAAGTATAGACCAGTTATTCAGTTCATTAAGCTGACGCTCAGTTGGGTGGCGCCCATTTCTCCTCCCATCCCCACGGCGCTCAGTTGGCTGGTGTTCGCATGCCTTAGCACCCGCAATATTCGCCGAGTCAGTCGCCCGATGCTCACCCGAGAAGCCGGTGTGAATGTTACTCGTCATCGTCGTTGCGCGTTCGCGCACTAATCGCTTTGATTCCGAATTCAGATATTGATAAAATATAAAGGAATGTTTATTTATAGAAGTTGACCTGCTTCAAGTGAGTTTCAGGTCGGTCGGTCGGTGATTTTTGAAGCCAACAACTGCGCGCGAGAAAGAGCTAGACGATCCGCTGCCGCAAGTGCGCGTATCGCGGCATTTTTTGGATCGTTATTCCGAGGGAAAAAATATTGATCAATATGCTGTGTTCATTTTTGTTTTTGTGAATCAAAGATTGATATTTTCACCTTGAAAAGTTACTGCGGAATTCTTTTTGTTGTGCTTTTCTATATCAGCAACAAAATGAATCTTCGTTCGCATCATGTATACACACTGGAAACTTTACCAGATGGTTCAACGAAATTTTGACTCTGCATGAAAGGACGAAAAAGCTGGGGTTTAATAATGCAAATTTCAAGATGCTGAATGAATTTTTCCGTAATAAATAAGTTAAAACTTTCGTAAACAATTATTATCACCCGAGTTTGACAGTATCCGCTTTCTGAAACTCACGTTTTCTGGTGTTTACATATATACAGTAGATCGAAAAAAAATAAAGCTTACAAGTGGTTATTGAACTTTGACTCGACATGCAAGGTGAAGAAGCTGATGATTTATTATGCAAATCTCTGAAAAAAAAATATGGAGCAACTTGAATTCATTTTTCCCGAATGGAAACTTTGGTAAACAAGTTTACCACCCGAGTTTGACAATATCCGCTTTCTGGAACTCACGTTTTCTGGTTTTTATATATATACAGTAGATCGAGAAAAAATAAAGTTTACAAGTGGTTATTGAACTTTTGACTCGACACGCAAGATGAAGAAGCAGATGATTTATTATGCAAATTCCTGACAAAATAAGAAACAAATTTGATGAATTTTTTCACCCCCCGAGTTTTTCAAGTCCCCGTTTCATTCTGGAATTCACGTTTTCCGCGGTGTTCACAAAAATCGAAGAATAAATCGAATTATTAATTTTGGGAATAAAAAATTGAAATTACATGCCCACAAAAGAGGCTTCTGATGTTTAAGTATCCAAAGACTTTCTCGATTATTCAAGCATTGGTTCATTAACATTCTGAAGACTCGGCCTTGCCCAGGAAAATCATGACGCATCTTCCCGCTATATCTTCAATGCAGGCAGAATTTTCTCCTTCTTTTAAATTATTTTGTTGGATTCATTTAATTTCGACAACCAATTATGTCAGAAATTGGCACAACGGATTATTTTGACATTTTTTCTATTTTTCGCTATTAATAATTGTTTATGCATGGTAAATCAACTGTTGTTTGATTAAAAATAAAGTTCAAAACAATGTAATCTTCGAATTTTAAACGTATAAGAGAAATAAGAAAATATTAGCTTGCTAATTTAAGAATTATAGATAGTTTTTCAAATTACGAAAATCCCGGAACCCGTTGAATCATGAGGACTTCTGAATTTCTGCTGGAAATTTGTATTTATTAGAAGGATGTAAAATTTTTGAAAAATAGCAGCATGTGGTGGTTTCTTCAAAAATTGTTTCTTGATTCATGTTCGAAACGTGCCGAACGTTGAACTTGTTTATTTTCAGATTATGTCAAAGATATAAAATCTTGACATGATACAGAAGCTATCGCGTGAGTGTAATTTGGTCCTAATTTCTTTTACAAATAGAAAATGCCGTAATTTAATTTTGAAGACCAGCATCACCTACGATTAGTGCTCAAATGACATGATTCTCACTTATTTTTATTTGCTCTCATCAGGGTCAGCAATATCAGTTACAAGGATAATCGAAGTCATAGTGGATGAAATATTCGTCTATACAGATATAATTTATAAAGCGTCATTGTCGAATTGTTCGCAGGAAAGAAAAAAATGCAGATAAAATAGTTCTCCAGATATAAGTGGATTACAGAAGATAAATAAAATTTCAAATACAACCTAATGCAATAGTCGGACCTCTTAAACTCAAACCTCCCCAGCTCAATTTTATTTTTCGAGTCCCTGTTCAAAGTCCATTAAAAGCTTTGTATCTTGAACCCCATTGACTCAAAATGTTTCAACTGTGAACATCTTTAACTAGAAATTGTTAAAGACAAGGAATGACAGGAAATTTAAAACGTAATGCTTTTGGGAAGAAAAATGAGCAACTTTATTTAATCCATAATATCCTGGCTTAAGGCTCTGAAATCCTCTAAAATAATTTTTTTCTGCAGTTTCCGGTGGCTAGCCCTATTTATGTATAGTTGGAATAATGTAGGTTTTGGAATAATGTAGCTTTTGGACACACTACAAACAGCTGCAGCTACATTTTCAGCCCTAATTACTTCTTCTTTAAAATATGCAGCAAGCATTTTCTGACCTAGTTCTCTATTAATACCTCCCTAACTCTAATCGACCTCAAGTTGAATTTCTGCGAGAGGTGCGACTGCAAAAAAAACATTTCTTTCGCTACCAAAGCAGTCAAATTTTTAATACATTAGCAATTAAATTTGGCATCGCGCCTTTAAAAGATCAGTGTAATCTTATAACGCAAGTACAATTTCATGTGAAGCACAGTATCAAAACGGTATGAAAGTATCCCACCTATAAGGCTATAATCCGTGAATTTTATTATGCATGGATATATATACAGTACAGGGTAGACCAAGAAAAAGAGAACTAATTTTTGCCTTACAACAGCTCAGTTGAAACTTGAGCTACAGCAACAAAACCCAAATTTCCTCTTTATTAACCACCATGGTCAGGTGGGGCTCATTTCCATAATATACAGCAGTACATTTTTTGTTGTCATTTTTGGGTCTTCTGATATTGTGATGATCAGAAAATGGGAACTTATTAAAAGATGACCAATGATGGCAAAAGTGATGGCTGCATGACCATTGTGGTTAAAGAGTGAAACAGATTTAGAGCAATTCAGTTATCCAGAAGAAAAAAATTTTGCAATCATGAGGGTTACATATAAAAGCACATACTACTTATTGAAAGGAAATCGAACCAGCTTTTATTTGGCGATTTTCTCGTTGCTGTAGCTTGATTCGCTATACTGAGATAATGTCATTAAAAAAAATCGGTTCACTTTTATTTTTTTGGTGGCCCACATCCTGTAGTTTCCGCTTGCGTGCTTCCGATGCACCCGTCAGCGGAAGAGGACGGACTTCCGGGCCTCACCAACAGCGGCATGTCCGTGTTGGGCGACTCCCGGACCAGAAGGGACGCCATCAAGAAGATGTCGTCGGGGGGACGCCCCAGCTGCAGCGGCAACACGACGGACGACCGAGAATTTGTAGACAACGGCGGCAATAATAATAAGCAAGTCAACACGACCGAGTACATAAACAAACTGCGGGTCCGATTCTTGTCCGCCGGGATCGGGGCTTACATCGTGCCCACTGACGATGCTCATCAGGCAAGAGGATCATTCCTCATTTATTTCTCGATTCCGTTGCAAATTAAAAACTTTAAAGTGCAGTACAATACTTGCACCGTAGTATATTGTACTTTATATACACTCAGCCGATCTCTACGGTATTTACAGTGTCCAGCAACCGTGGGTCTTCGTGCACATGGCGAAAAAATCGCAATTCAAAGGAACTATTTTTTTTTCAACGACTCGCAGTTTCAAATAACAATGTAAAATACATATTTTACATTTCCTTACATTTGACGCATGGAAAATTTTTTGAAAGTACAAAACTATTGGTGAATTATTGTGTGCTCAGGACAAATTGAGACTATAGTAGAATTGAATCAGGAAATTCGTGAGAGGGACTATTTCAGACTATCCCAAATAAAAATTAGCACACCTTTTGACCAAACAGTGCAAATTTTGCTCCTTTTCACACCCTCAACATAAGAAATTCAGGAAAACAAAGGAAAGTTATTTTGAAAATGCTTCTGTCTCAAATTGTCCCTGTCTTAGATTATCCCTGTCTCCAAAAGTTTCTGTCTCAAATTGATCATGTCTTGAATTGGCCCTGTTTGAAATTGTCTGTCTTGATTTGTCCTAGATCCAAAGTATATTGAAGTATTCTTCCATTATTGCTGTACAATATCCGGTAGTTTTGAAGGACATTTGCTTTTGATTAAACTGCCACTAGATGGTCTAATTATTATTTTTTTTTCTATTTGAAGCAAGCATTGTAAAAGCTCGAGCATGGTATGATCTCGGAAAAATTATTGAAACAGTTTTCAAAATATTTTTCCATTTTACCGGACATCAGGCTGTTCCAAAGGAAGTGGTTTTTGATTACTCTGACTATTCCGTTCGTCTAATTATTTGTGTGTGAACCATTTCACGAAAGAACTAAAAAAATCTTGAGTATGATCTGAACTTTCAAAAAATTGTTGAAACGGTTTTCAATATTTTAAAAATGTCGTTCGATACCTCAGAAAACACTAAAAATAAACGTTTCTGCTTGTCTCCACGCATTACAGTACGTCTATAAATGACCAAAGTTTCAGGTCGTCAACATTTCGAGTTTTTTGAATCCTTAAAAACAAAAGATGCGAACATTTCATTCCCTCGTCCAGCTGATTTGAGAATACTGTACGTCACAGTCATCCTACAATAATAAGGAAAGCATCAGAAATGTTTTTCCAAAATATTTGTCCATTTTTTGGGAAACCATTTTTCCATGTGTGTTTTTAAAATTTAATGCGCCTTTGCATCATTTGGTGATATTTNCTTCCGGGCCTCACCAACAGCGGCATGTCCGTGTTGGGCGACTCCCGGACCAGAAGGGACGCCATCAAGAAGATGTCGTCGGGGGGACGCCCCAGCTGCAGCGGCAACACGACGGACGACCGAGAATTTGTAGACAACGGCGGCAATAATAATAAGCAAGTCAACACGACCGAGTACATAAACAAACTGCGGGTCCGATTCTTGTCCGCCGGGATCGGGGCTTACATCGTGCCCACTGACGATGCTCATCAGGCAAGAGGATCATTCCTCATTTATTTCTCGATTCCGTTGCAAATTAAAAACTTTAAAGTGCAGTACAATACTTGCACCGTAGTATATTGTACTTTATATACACTCAGCCGATCTCTACGGTATTTACAGTGTCCAGCAACCGTGGGTCTTCGTGCACATGGCGAAAAAATCGCAATTCAAAGGAACTATTTTTTTTTCAACGACTCGCAGTTTCAAATAACAATGTAAAATACATATTTTACATTTCCTTACATTTGACGCATGGAAAATTTTTTGAAAGTACAAAACTATTGGTGAATTATTGTGTGCTCAGGACAAATTGAGACTATAGTAGAATTGAATCAGGAAATTCGTGAGAGGGACTATTTCAGACTATCCCAAATAAAAATTAGCACACCTTTTGACCAAACAGTGCAAATTTTGCTCCTTTTCACACCCTCAACATAAGAAATTCAGGAAAACAAAGGAAAGTTATTTTGAAAATGCTTCTGTCTCAAATTGTCCCTGTCTTAGATTATCCCTGTCTCCAAAAGTTTCTGTCTCAAATTGATCATGTCTTGAATTGGCCCTGTTTGAAATTGTCTGTCTTGATTTGTCCTAGATCCAAAGTATATTGAAGTATTCTTCCATTATTGCTGTACAATATCCGGTAGTTTTGAAGGACATTTGCTTTTGATTAAACTGCCACTAGATGGTCTAATTATTATTTTTTTTTCTATTTGAAGCAAGCATTGTAAAAGCTCGAGCATGGTATGATCTCGGAAAAATTATTGAAACAGTTTTCAAAATATTTTTCCATTTTACCGGACATCAGGCTGTTCCAAAGGAAGTGGTTTTTGATTACTCTGACTATTCCGTTCGTCTAATTATTTGTGTGTGAACCATTTCACGAAAGAACTAAAAAAATCTTGAGTATGATCTGAACTTTCAAAAAATTGTTGAAACGGTTTTCAATATTTTAAAAATGTCGTTCGATACCTCAGAAAACACTAAAAATAAACGTTTCTGCTTGTCTCCACGCATTACAGTACGTCTATAAATGACCAAAGTTTCAGGTCGTCAACATTTCGAGTTTTTTGAATCCTTAAAAACAAAAGATGCGAACATTTCATTCCCTCGTCCAGCTGATTTGAGAATACTGTACGTCACAGTCATCCTACAATAATAAGGAAAGCATCAGAAATGTTTTTCCAAAATATTTGTCCATTTTTTGGGAAACCATTTTTCCATGTGTGTTTTTAAAATTTAATGCGCCTTTGCATCATTTGGTGATATTTTTGAAAAGTCTTTCGAGAGATATTTTTTAAAAATTAGTTTTAATGCTTTCAGAGCGAATATGTGCATCCTTGCGATGCCAGGAGAGAGTTCATTTCAGGTTTCAGTGGGTCAGCTGGAACAGCGGTCATCACTTTGGAAAAGGCTGCTTTGTGGACCGATGGGCGATACTTTTTGCAAGCTGAAGAAGAACTGGACTGCAATTGGATTCTGATGAAAGTCGGCCAAAACGGAGTGAGAGCTTCGAAATCATATCCTGTGGAAAAAAAAATTGAATGCCCACGATACAAATGCCGCATCTTTATTTCTATATAAAAGGAGGGGTGCTAAAGCCTTACCGAGCCTTGACACGAGCTTCGGTTGTGCCTTCAACGACGACTAGGGTTCAACTACAGACGGTTTCACACCAACCTGGACTCCTTCCTTAATTCATTTAAAAGGCAGTATATTTTGATGTTTGTCCAAATTCAACAGCGGATCAATTTGTCTAAATGTCTAAAAGCATTTCGTGTACATCATTGAAATACGCTTATTTCATGAATATTAGGGACACGAAGGCATAAACCAGCTAAACACCTAAATTCAAACCAATTTTACCGAAATTAGGTTTTAAAAAACTTTAAACAATTCTGCTGATGTGCGGTTCGAATTGCGGAGGGATTCAAGTATGTAAATTTTCCGTGATACAATTTTTTTTATAATTTCAAGCATAAAATGTAAAAAAAAAACTGATGTTCACTCATTGATGCGGTTGTCTACAAGTTTAAAATAATTTCTTGAGCACTACTTGAGCCTGATGCACTCAGGAAGTCAGGACTTTGATATACTCGTATTCATAATTCTAGAATGAATAGGGAATCTGAGTTTTGCAAAACATGAACAAAATTAATGCTGTCAACTGTGGTCATGAGCAATGAACATTTCATTGTTTATTCAATCATTGCAGATTTTAAGCAGCAAAAAACACATTCCAGGTGCAAGATACATCTGAGTGCTGAGGCAGTTACCCAGCCTCCAAGGGATTTAAATTTAAAGTGCAAATCTACATTTATGGCTGCAAAAATAAAGGAAGCTGGAGCATCCTCACTCCTCGAATGTTAAAAGAGGACTTCTTATTATCTCTGATCACAGGTATCAAGAGACAAGACCACACACACAATCAGAAAATAAAACCTTGCCTTGTGGAATAAAAATTTGGCTCCAAAATAAATAAAATTGCCAAATAAAAAAATGATTTGGGATAGGTGCAACTCACAATGCACAAAATCCAAAGCGCACAGCTCTGCCAATTTTCAACTGAAAATAATCCAAAAGGTCCTAAATTTAAGCTCAAGATGTTCTCTGATTTCATGTAATCATATAAAAATTGATCTGACCAACAGATATTGAGATATTCTCAGAACCAAGGTCTTTTTCTTTGGCGATAAGAATCTGGAAAACCTTCATGGCAGATTCTTATCTCACTGATGCACAAGCTTTTGGCTCAACCAGTGACTTCAAAAGCCTTGTCCCCTAATAAATGATTGAATTTTTTTCTGCAACATTTAATGGGAAATACTGAGCGAAGGTTCAGTTTATGTGTTTCCAAACAACTAACTTTATTAGACACGTTTCGAATTTTGAAAAATTTCCAAAAATCCCACGCTTTACTAATGTCTCCGAAAAAACTAACTTTTTGTGGACACTGTTCGAATTCTGAAACATTTTGTACTATACGTTGATTTGAACAGCTGACAAAAATCTGCAGTTGAAATCGATTCCCAGCAACCTGGTTGATGAAGTCTGGAGCACGTCTCAACCCGAATGCCCGAAGGACACTATTTATCCTCTCAGCTTCCAATTTGCTGGTACGGGTTGATCCACATTTACTTTTGACAAACAATATGCATCTTTTCATCCATTCAAGTTTTTTTTTTTTTGAATTCATACAGGAAAATCCTGGGAAGACAAAGTGATGAACGTTAGAGAAGAGCTCCAGCAAGGAGGAAACGACGCCATCGTTTTGTCATCGTTGGATGAAATCGCTTGGCTTTTGAACTTGAGGGGTTCAGATCTTCCGAATACCCCCGTTTTCAAGGCATATTTGATCCTTGATATGACTTCACTTTCCCTGTTTGTCAATCCGGCCAAGGTGAGATTATCGTGTGCAAACATTTTCGGTACAGCGCGGACTTCTGCACATCGTCTTTTTCATTCACACGTACGAGGCCAAATTATCAAGTGTGTGTTCCAAAATTGACAAATTTTTAGAACAGTTAAAATCCTGCGGAAAAATAGACCCTCTAGTCTAGGAAACGATTATTTTTGAATATTAATATTCTTCATAAATAAATGTATGTTCTGACTGACCAATACCATCCTTTTGAGAACTTAACTGCCACCAGATGGTTTTGCGATTTATCTTTTGGCATGCCAATCCACTTTGGTACGTGCGCCGTTCAGAATATAATCCTGAAGTCTCAAAAACTTCGGGAAGAGCCAATAAATCCTTTTGATAACATGACACAAGAATTGGCTCAGTAAAATAATTCTTTGCATGACCCATATTTGATTATTTATCTAATCCTTATTTCACGGAAATATATTCTCCGAGGGACGAATTCCTTTCTATTTATTTGCGGTAGAATTTTTGTTGAAAAACATACACATGTAATACAGGAATTACAGTACTTGAAAAGATTTCTTTTTAGACCTGCTCATATTGAATGACACAGGCAAATAATATTGCGCAAAATGGCTTTTTGTGATAATATTGAGAAAATCATATTTCCCTTTTTGTCTGGCTAAAGGTTTGTTTGCTTGAGATTTTTAAGGGATAAAAGCGGAATTTATATGAATAAAGTCATGGAAATGGATGATTTCGTTATTGTCGTTCAATCTTTGATGGTTGAAATGCTGTTCTAAGCTTAGATTAATTATTAGCTNTCCCCACGATTTCGGAATGGCTCGGAACTGTGCTCGAAGCCAACACGGAAGTTGCTGCTGATCCCAAGTTGATGTCTGCCAAAGTGTGGTTGGACCTGAGGAAGGAATTAAGTAAATTTTCCGTCATCATTTTGATTTTTGTCAAAAATCAACAGCGGAATCATTCCGCCATGTGGATCAAATTGTCTAAACTTTTAAAATAATTCCGTGGACATCATTGAAAGACCTTATTTGTTTCATGAATAGGATATACGATGGCATAAAAAAGCTAAATTGAGACCAATTTCACCGAAATTAAGTTCTTAAAAACTGAACACAATCCTGCCGATGTTGTGCGGTTGGAATTGAGGAGGTATTCAAGTACTGTACGTACATTTTTCGTACGTGATACTTTATTTTTTGAATTTCGAACATGAAATGTAAAAAAAACTGACGTTCACTCATTTATGCGTTTGTCTACAAGTTTAAAATAATTTCTTGAGCACTACTTGAGCCTGATGCACTCAGGAAGTCAGGACTTTGATATATTCATAATTCTAGAATGAATAGGGAATCTGAGTTTTGCAAAACATTAACAAAATTAATGCTGTCAACTGTGGTCATGAGCAATGAACATTTCATTGTTTATTCAATCATTGCAGATTTTAAGCAGCAAAAAACACATTCCAGGTGCAAGATACATCTGAGTGCTGAGGCAGTTACCCAGCCTCCAAGGGATTTAAATTTAAAGTGCAAATCTACATTTATAACTGCAAAAATAAAGGAAGGTGGAGCATCTTCACTCCTTGGATGTTAAAAGAGGACTTCTTATTATCTCTGATCACAGGTATCAAGAGACAAGACCACACGCACAATCAGAAAATAAAACCTTGCCTTGTGGAGTGAAAATTTGGCTCCAAAATAAATAAAATTGCCAAATAAAACATGATTTGGGTATGTTGCAAATCACAATGCACAAAATCCAAAGTGCATAGCTCTGCCAATTTTCAACTGAAAATAATCCTGAAGGTCCAAAATTAAAGCTCAAGATGTTCTCTAATTTTATGTAATCATATAAAAATTGATCTGACTAACAGATTTTGAGATATTCTCACTTTTCTGAGCCTAACTTTTTCTTTAGTGATAAGAATCTGGAAAACCCTCATGCCAGATTCTTATATCACTGATGCACAAGCTTTTGGCTCAAACAATGACTTCAAAAGCCTTGTCCCTTAATAAATGATTGAATTTATTTCTGCAACATTTAATGGGAAATACTGAGCAAAGGTTCAGTTTAGATGTTTCCAAGCAGCTAACTCTAGACACGTTTCGAATTCTGAAAATTTTCCAAAAATCACATGCTGTACTAATGTCTCTGAACAAACGAACTTTTTCTAGACACGTTTCGAATTCTGAAAATTTTCCAAAAATCACATGCTGTACTAATGTCTCTGAACAAACGAACTTTTTCTAGACACGTTTTGAGTTCTGAAACGTTTTTTATTATACGTTGATTTGAACAGCTGACAAAAATCTGCAGTTGAAATCGATTCCCAGCAATCTGGTTGATGAAGTCTGGAGCACGTCTCAACCCGAATGCCCGAAGGACACTATTTATCCTCTCAGTTTCCAATTTGCTGGTACGGGTTTATCCACATTTACTTTCGACAAAAAATATGCATCTTTTCATCCATTCAAGTTTTTTTTTTTTTGAATTCATAGTCCTTTTAGGACCCTTCTGTTTCACTACTTGCAATCTCTTCTCGAGGTCGTTCCTCCTTTGCTGCGGTAGCAAAACAGATCGTTGGATGAAATCGCTTGGCTTTTGAACTTGAGGGGTTCAGATCTCCCGAATACCCCCGTTTTCAAGGCATATTTGATCCTTGATATGACTTCACTTTCCTTGTTTGTCAATCCGGCCAAGGTGAGATTTTCGTCTGCGAAATTTTCGTTACAGCGCGGACTTTTGAAATTGCACATCGTCTTTTTCATTCACTCGTATACGAGGCCGAGCAATCAAGTGTGTGTTCCAAAATCGACAACTTTTTAGAACAGTTGAAATCCGGCGGAAAAACTATAGACCCTCTACGAAACGAATATTTTTCAATATTAATATTCTTCATAAATAAATTTATGTTCTCACTGACAGCTGTACCATCCTTTTGAGAACTTAACTGCCACCAGATGGTTTTGCGATTTATCTTTTGGCATGCCAATCCACTTTGGTACGTGCACCTTTCAGAATATAATCCTGAAGTCTCAAAAACTTCGGGAAGAGCCAATAAATCCTTTTGAAAACATGACACAAGAATTGGCTCAGTAAAATAATTCTTTGCATGACCCATATTTGATTATTTATCTAATCCTTATTTCACGGAAATATATTCTCCGAGGAACGAATTCCTTTCCATTTATTTGCGGTAGAATTTTTGTTATTTTTGTATGTGTACATTATGTCCTTAATGTCATGAACTTTTCTAAAGAAAAATCTGGACGAGTATAACTTACTGTGTCCGTTTATTATAACGCGTTTTACCGAAAAACACTATTATAACTCTTTTACATATTTCCCTTTTTGTCTGGCTAAAGGTTTGTTTGCTTGAGATTTTTAAGGGATAAAAGCGGAATTTATATGAATAAAGTCATGGAAATGGATGATTTCGTTATTGTCGTTCAATCTTTGATGGTTGAAATGCTGTTCTAAGCTTAGATTAATTATTAGCTGGTACTATTTTAATTTGTCTTTTGGCATGACGTTGATTTTTATCGACACCTTCGTAAATTTATTCCCCCAACTTGAAATCACGTTTTCGCAAACATTTTAGAAAAGAATGTTCTGGAAAAGCGCGTGATGCAACGAAATATACCAAGGTATCCAGTTTTGACCTTTTGTACCTCGTAATCTTCCTATTCTATGTAATTTTCTGCAGGTCACAAATGATGTCAAGGCCCATTTGAAGTCTGAGGGCTGCGAAACGGGTCCCAATTGCGTCAAACTGTCCAACTACGACAAGTTCTTCGAATTCCTGGGACAAACGAGGACGAAAACCTACCAGAAAATACTCATTCCTTCCAGATACAGTTATTCTGGTGGAGCTTCTTTCGCAATCTACGAAGAGTTGACCAGAGGAAGTCTCAAATTTACCTTTGCTCCTTCGCCTGTTCTGTTCCACAAGGCCAGAAAGAACGAGGTGGAAATTGCCAATATCAGGAGATGTGAGATCAGGGATGCTGCAACTTTGATCGAGTTTCTGGAAGTTCTGGAATCCGGGGTGAGAGAAACATAAAAGGCCGTTGATTTAACAGGTACTCACGCAAAACATGGGAAAACAAATTTTGCACAACTTCCCGTGGGTGCTACATTTTTTATTTATTTCTGTCATCTCAAAATAATATCTTACTATAATATTTTAAAATAATATGTCATGGAACTCACTCTCCGTGTGGAGCTATTACAACTCCTTTCATATGCATTTTTAGATAGGGACATATTCTGGCTCGGGGTCAAAAGACGTGCAACTGAAACTCTTGCAGTAATACTGTATTAAAAAAAAACTGCAGTAGATAAAAATAGGCATTCTGACTTGAATGAAAGTAATGTTCAAGACCTTCCTACTTTAAAATCTGGAGTTTCTTACTAAACGTTTGCTATAGTCATTCGAAAACTTGAAGACCAAAGAAAAAGCGACTTTAAATTTTCTTATTAAGACGTAAAATCAGAAATACTGTAACAGACACACGGGCAATCATGGATTGACGTGTGAAACAAACATGATAAGAAAAAAGTGGAATTAACTTTATTTGAGCTTAAAACTGTATTGTATAAAATGAGTACAGTGATATTGTAGGTTCTAAATAGCTGAATTTATGTCTCGACGGAGTTCTGTTGTGAGTCACGTAAAATGCGCACCCGAATTTCAAAAATGTATGGAAAAAACTTCATCACATATATTTCGAGTCAGATTTTAGACCTAAAATGCGAGAAAATAAGGTTTCAAGATTATTACGTGCATATATGGTAATTTTGTTTGGGTCATCTGTACGTCTTTCTCCTTTCTGGATTTATTACTGCATCGTTTTTTAAATTACACTTTTAAAATATCTATTGCTGATCGATTTCTTATTCGGATGAATAAAGTACACTCACTACAAGCGGTACGTTAACTCATTTTAAAAATGTCATCTGCAAAAAGTTTCCGCGAAAAAATATGTCTCGTTTCAGAAGAAAAGGAATCCGAATGCAATTTAATCTATTTCACAAGCATTGTTTTTATTGTTTGATCTAGAAATTGAATTCCATGCAATTTACCGAGATGCCCGAAAGGGTTGAATTAACTGAGTTCCTATAGACCTTAGATTTTTTAAAGGATGAAACTCCAGGAAGGTCTTAATCTGACAAGCCCATTCCTTGAAAAATTTGAACACATTTTCAATTATGGGTGATTCATGAACAGTTAGATGTAGTGAAGTCCAGCATCGACCGCTAATGACCCTACTCTAGTCACGACGATCTTTTGACCTCCTTAAGTCTTCCTTCGTCTGGTTGTTATACCCTAACTCGAAGCTTCGTTAAAGACGTATAGGCTCAAATGGAGCCATAATTCACTACAAGCCAGAAGAGAAGACAAACAAACGAATTGTGACAGACAACATGTACCTTCTTGACTCCGGAGGACAATACAAAGGTACTGTATTTCATCCCCCCCCCCCCCCAAATTTGTGATAACGAGAATCTCCCAATTTTGATTTCATCTGCGTCAATTGATAACTTTTGGAGGCGAAAATGAAGTTCATGCATTAAAAAGTATGCTCAATCATCATGGAAAAAAATAGAACATCAGAAAATTTCAGCATTTATACATGCTGACGCGAACATACAATTACTGAAGATCTGCAACGAGTTTTCCGAATAATACATTTTTTTTTTCCTGGAGAAAAATGTTCAAGAGTGGGTTCCAACTTCGAATAAGTGCGTGTCTGTCTTGGATTTGCATACTTTCATCTCTTCTGAAGCGACATCTAGGTTCCTCGACTTCAACGCATAATGACTCGGGAGAAGAAATAGTGAGACTATACCCAGCCAGGATGGATTTGTCCGTTTCTTAAACCATCTCATGTATAAGAAATTCCTATTGGGTATCAAAAAATAAGTTATTGCCCCATACTAACAAGCACTAATCTGGCTAACAATGAGCATTCACACCCAGAATTGTCCAGAAAAAAATTTACAAAAGATTTTTTATTCAGGTCTAACGTTTGAAAGGTAGGTTGTTCGACTTTAAAGAAGTCTTGTCTATAAAACCGACAATATAAGATCTGAGGTGACTTGTAACTTAACTCCTTTCGAGTGCAAAGACTGAGTTTGGTATCAATCAGGGAGAAAAGGGCAGACTTTTTTTAAACCCTTGTATGAAGTTATATGGTGTTCAGTACATTTTTCACTGCAGCCTATTCGGAAATGTACTTCATAAAATTTCAGTCAACTTGCCAAAGATTGAGAGGCATACAAATGCCACAATCGGACATGATTTTAAACTTACCAGTAAAATTGGAATGTTTTTTTTTTCAAGCCAAGCAATTTTCTCCCAGATTTTCAAAATCTGCTTTACTGTATATTGCTGTAATTGAGGATTAAGAAAGGAGACAAGAAAAGGATCAATTCAAAAAATAAAACAAATCATTCAGCTGTGGGGTTCAGCTGGGGATTTAGATTTAGGATTTAGGAAATCTTAAAAAGATGAAAAAGATAAATGTATTTCACTTCTCCCCATAATTAATTCACAGAACACACAAGTAAAAATAACAAAAACATTTTGAATGATAACTGGCAGCAGACTGACTCAGGAATAAGGAATATAAAAAAATGTTGGAAGAGTGAACTTATATGGTTTTCACTCTCTCCCTTCCAGGAATCTGCACTGCTGCACCTGATTGGCTGAAATGGATAAATTAATGGTTCAAATATTCAATTAACATGGACTGCCATCTAACGGCAGGCCAATCCAATTATTCCAGAGCATTCTAGATAACTTGACACACATTATTTAATTGGGGATCTAATTATTCCACAATTGTGATGTGTAAACGTTTTTCACATCTTGTATGTTTAGATTGCACCACAGATGTCACCAGGACGTTGCATTTTGGTACCCCCACTGACTTTCAAAGAGAAGCTTACACCAGGGTGCTCATGGGAGCCATTGATTTGGCAATGGCCGTGTTCCCGAAGGGCACCACAGATGTCGCTGTTGACTTTGTCGCCAGACAACACTTGTTCAATGTCGGACTCAACTACAGGCATGGAACTGGTCATGGAATAGGAATGTTTTTAGGAGTCCATGAAGGTACTAAAAACATGGTCGATCTGCATCGACTGGTGGAAATTATAAAATAATAATATTTGGAAATTATAAAATAATTTTCCTGAACTTGAAAAAAAACGCAATAAAGTCATACAAGAAAGTATAACTTGATTTTGACTCGCGGAAAGATATGGAAACTGGAAGCTGCTCTTTCAGTATTATTTCGAAACCAAGAGAACTAGATTTTACAAAGAATTTTCTAGATTTTCCGAAGACTTTTCAAGAGAGATCTTTTTTTGTAAAAGTTTATTAAGGAATCGGATATTTACGACAAAACGGATGATGAATCTCCCTTTTGCATACTTCGCGTTTCGTAAAGTCAGATAAAAGTATTTTTATGTAAAACTCAAAATCATGAAGTTTCACGAAATAATTTTTGGTTGGTCGACGCTAAAAGCATTGAAGCTTTTAGCATTTCTTAGCGTGATTAAAAATCTCCTCCAAATGAAATTGTGGAAAGATCTTCAATGATGCCAGCTCTTTTCTTTTTCTTTAATATTTTTAAATCGAAAACCAGCTCCAATTCAACTCAGGATATACAGCAATGAGCCGCACAAGTTGGAGAAGAATCAATTTTTCTCAAATGGTGTGTTCCCCATATAAACTCTATCTGTATGCTGTCTCAAAGCATTCTATACAGCCTGGTTTTTCCTTATCTGTTGCACAGGCTAATAACTCATCTAGGCTTATGCTATCGCTATTTTCTGCATGCTGAATTTTTGAAAGATTCACACTCTATACGTCTCTTTTTTTTACTTGACCACGTGTGGTTTGGCTGCGTATAGCTTTGAGTTCTGCGTTTGAGGTGGGGGCAACACGATCTGTTGGTGAGTGATTGTCGTCCTTGTGCCAATTTTCGTGGGTGACAGTTCGTTTTACGCAATAACTGGATTGAAGGCGGCTTCGTGAAATGTCCTGGATTGCTTTCGGTGAAGTTCGATTTGAATTCTATAATAGTTGACAATAGGAAAATATCTTTGGATTCCTTATATTTATTTTGGTTTCGGTGGAACAAATTACAGAACCTGGGTATTATGAAGATGGAAAGTTCGGTATACGATTGGAGACGATCGTCACGGTTGTGGAGAAAAATCTGCCGGTGAGTTAAAATTGAATGTTTTTTTTTTCAAACGTGTAACCCAGTAATTCAACAACATAAATTTGATCTTGTGATTAACTGTTCCAGGTTTATCGTTGTGAAAGCAACATAAGAGGGAATAACAATTTCATTTGTCAATGACAGCTGCTGAGAACTCTTCCTATGATCCCAGAGATCAAATATATATACTTTTCAAACATGGATTTGGATAAATTCCTTTAAAATAACTTTTCAACGCTCAATAACCCGCGATACTCCTTTTCAAAATCCGCGATAAGTTGTGAATGAAAATGCAGATGTAATCAGAAACTAACGCTTCTAAAATTTTATATTTTCACTATATTGTACGCAAATATGATTTATGGGGAAAGAGAAAGGAGAACAGATATTGTAAATAAATATATTTACTACCTAATAAGTCATTCTCTGATTGTTGACAACAACAAAAATGAAAAACTTTTTTAGACGCTGAACGTTTTGAGGAAAAAAAAATTCACTAAAAATGTGACCTGCATGCAAGCTAAATTTTACAACTCTCCTATTAAAAATATTGAAATTCTATGCAGAATGAGGTACTGTATAAACAATTTTGTTTTAAGGCAATGCTATATGAGATAATGGAGATTATAAACTTGGAAGGGAAGAAAATAAGAGCTTTTGATTATGTATTTTTTCAATAGTACCATTTTCCAATTTTGGCAGGTGTACAATATTGAGTACATGAATTATGTAGAATTATTTTGAATTACAGTATATAGAATAAACATGATTCCTTCTAGGTAATTTTCTGCAATGAAGTGCGGTCTATAATTGAGTGAATAGTTAAATGAATTAATTTTTGGATTAATTTATCGCTTTTTCTCGCAGAGAAATTTCGATGGTCCTTACCTTGGACTGGAACCCGTCACCTTCGTCCCATTCGAGCCGAAGCTGATTTGCGCAGAACTCCTGTCAACCAAACAGAAAAATTGGCTCAACAACTACAACGCCGAGCACTCTCTGTTTTAACCGCGTCTTAACGTGCTTTCTCTGTTGTGGCTTCGGATGCTTACCTACTACCGGTCTTGGCCAGGTCAACAGCACTGGTTCGGCACGTTTAATAACCGACCTAGAAGTCCAGCATCCGTCAACACGCCGAGAACGAGTTTCTTGACTAATTACGTCCTGATTCCCGTGACGATTTTGTTGATGAATTTGATAAGTTTTTGACTGATCGTACGTGTGTTGAGTGAAGATGAGGAGCAGAATTTGAATGCCATCGTCACCAGCAGTGAATTCCAGCATTTCGATCATCTTGAGTGGATGCCTTTTGTCGATGCGTGTTATCCGAAGTACAACTTGAGCCATTATATTATTTATTTGGAAAGTTGAAGGAACGAATAGCAAAAAAAGAACGATTCCTCTTTTTGATTAATGCCAGCTGACGCGTTTGTTATAAATCGTTACCGAACGTTGAAATCGGACGAATACATTTTTCTAACTCTACGAATTCAAAGTCTGCTGTTTTAATTTCAATCGAAGAATTTTCCAATTTTTTACAGGGATCGATTTCACATATGATAAACATAAAAATTTGTGCGTCTAAAGCCTCTTCTATGCGATACAAATTCTCGCGACGGATAAGAAGCAACTTTAAATTATACTGAGTATAGACAATATCTCTTTCTGTTGAAAAAAGGGGGACAAGAAAGGATTTTGGACACGTTTTTGGCAATTAAATTCACGGTCTAAAAGATTGAGCGACCCCCTCAATAAAAAGTTATAGTGTGCTTGAAGTTATTCATTTGATTCCAGTTTTGAGAACTTACAGTTTCCCATATAGACTGCAATACATGCTTTGATATTGCCATTTAAACATATTCTGCAATCAAGCAATTGCTGCCCATGTTTCTTCACTTTGAATTTAAATTCCACCACTTATCACACTTTCAGGATAAATTCAAATCCTTTCATGAAAAAGTCCTTAAAAAGGAGATTTAAATTTCTTAACGAAAATCAAACAAAAAAGTTCATTCAGTACCTCAAAATACCTTGAGCTTATGGCTCAAGGTATTACAGGCTTCCTTTTCAATTGCTTTACTGTCAGGCATCAAATTTTGCACGCACAATAATCTAATAATTACCTTCAAGTATGTCAATGCTAAAAACTATTAATGCAATTATATGGGTTAACCCTTGGATTGCGGTGGGTTGAATTCCATCCCGTGACAAGTCCGGGAAATTTTTGTATGCTTATATGCATTTTGGTTTGACCAACAATCACCAAAACAAAAATTTTGCTGAGTAGCCAAAGTCTGAAAATAGCTGGGGAAGGTAAACCAATTGTCTAAAATCCTTAAATTCTGATCCTATGAAAGGAATGTGAAAAATGTCACACAGTAGCCAAGCTTAAGGACAAATTAAAAAAAAATATATTTTTGAGATTTTTCTGGAAACTGGCTCTCCTGATCATCCCTTCTTTTTTTATTATTCTCATGTCTTATGGAACACAATTTTATGAATAAATCATGGCACCACTGTCCAAGGGTTGAAGAATGTTCGACCAGATGAAGATTAACATTCAATTTTCAAATTTATTACCCCAGTCATTGAAGAATTCCTACGCACAAATTTCAGCCTCACCGCGTAAACTTGACATTCGGAAGACCTCAAGTTTATATCCGACAAACTTAAAAAAAAATTTCAAGTGCACCATGAAGGTTCAGGAAGATACCTTTTAAAAAAGTGCAGACTTCTGAATTATGCCGAAAAAATATGGTTAAACCATGGCAAGGGTCAGCCATCTTGACCAAATCTGATGCCGTGTATGTTAAAACGCATTTCCCAGCATTAAAATAAGCTACAAAATTGCTTATCAATATATAATATACACGCCTGTGGTTTTTTTCCTTCATCCTCCTCATCCATCCCTATATTCCTCCTTGTTACGAAAGGCAAAGAACCTTTATCCACCGGCTTTGTTCGTGAGAAAATATACACGTCTTCCCTTTTTTGCTCCTTCTCAATATTCACATATACACATAAACCGAGGCTATTCTTCAGCATCACGCATATATTGATCTCGGGAAGTAAACAGACCCCGAAATCGACATGAGCAACTTCTTGTGGATGAAACCCGGCAGGTCTCCGTTGGCAGGACTGCCTTTTCACGCTTCTTGGGCTGGAGGCGTGACTGGCAGCAGCCTGATGATGCCCTGTGGGGCAGGTGCCACTGCTGGGATGGGTCAACCCCGTTTTGGGCCTGTCGACGAAAGCATGTTTCATTTGTCAGGTTTGGATTTGAGATCCGGTGCTTGTTTTGGAGCGGATGGTTCGGGACGACTGGGAACCAATGCAGCAATTGTGAATTTTGCGGCATCGAATAAAATGCCATCGAGACCCACTAAGTACAAGTTTGGGGATTCGGAATCAAAATCCTTGGGGTAATTAATTCCCTGATATAATGAAGTAGCTCTTATTGAGAACAATGCTAAACTCGCGAAGAAGAAACATAGAAAGGGGATTACAGCAGTATATATTGAGTCAATGAGCTTTGAGGATTTCTTTTTATCTATAATTGTGCAGCAAAAGAATATTCTGAAAATTTTTTAAACCGCCTACAACAGAAATATCTTTGAAGATGATAAAATAAAGTTCTCGAGCACTATAATGCCTTGAAACTGCTGACTTATTGGATACTCAGAATCCAATTTGATCATTTTCCCGAAATTGCAGTGAATCTTCTTGAAAACATTGCTAATAACCTCGCGACAAAGAATATTTAAAAAGATTGTATTCAGGTGATAAGCTGTGAAATGTTTTTAAAGATCTCAGCGAAGGTATACACATATTCTGAAAATATTTTAAACATGTTACAAAATATAACGAAAATAGAGGATGCTCTCGAAAAGCAATAATTTCAGACTTAGACAATCAGACTCAAAATCCAGCTCGGGGTAATTATTTCCCTTTATTGAATTTTCTGAAAAATTAATAACCCTAAACAACATTAAATAACTTTTTAAAACGAAGATTATGGGATGGCATTGAAGAGACCGAAATCCACAATTTGGGTCATCAGAATCAAAACCCTTGAAATAATTAATATATTTTTCTTTCATGTTCAGTTGTCATATTTTCAAAGAGTCCTGTGGAACGACATTATTTGTTTTCAAAGAGATTTATCGTTTGTAAACTGCATAATTAACTTACGGTTATATTTCATTCAGCAGGTAAGATATGCATGTATTTTATATTAATAGGACGTGACATGAATTACAAATGTCTAAAGTTTATCCTTAGCGTATATTTTTCCATATAAATGTTAATTAATTGCGTTTCCTGCTATTTTATTCCTCTTGTATTATCCTCTCGTCTTCACACAATTCTTCGCAGTCAACCACTGAGAAGGAACTTGAACAGCCTGCACCCACCTGTAACGACTCATGCTGTACCCAAGAATTTGGGTGCTAGCAAGGCAGAAAGAGGACGAACCCCAGAGCCCTGTGGGCAATCCCAGTTGCAGCGAGGAGAACCCGAAACACTTGAAGGAACCCTTGTATTTGTGACTTGCCACTCTCTCAAGACCCTCAGAACTGCTATAGGGCCTCTAGTGGACGTTTCTGCACGAGAATCCAGTGTAAATGAGGCATGTACATGATGAACTGAAGTACCGAATTTACTTGAGTACCACATGTCCTTTTTTCCCCCCGAAATTACGAAGAAAAGAGAGGGCATACGTCATAAAAGCGGGTTCAACATTTAATAATATTTTCTTTAACATTTAACATTTAATTCTTTTTTTTCAGGTTGTAAATCCATCATTTCACACTCAGTCTCCAGAAATTTCGGTGCACCTCATATACGTGATAACAGGGAGTTTTAAACCAATTTCTATATACAAGCAGACAATTAAAATTTGAAGCGATGAAAAATTTCCAGTAATTTGACTTCAATTTCGTAAAAAATTTGAATTTGAATTCTGCATTTCATTTTCAAAATATTTCAATTTCCAGTCCCTTAAAATGAGTAGAACGTCTTTCTTGGGGATACATTTTTATCCGAAGTTTAGGCTGAGAAATTTGGGTGCGCGCCTAACTCGAAAACGGCGTGTGGTACTCAAATAAATACTGTACTGTACACTATTTTATTTTTCTGAAGTGCTGTCTTCACTCAATTACTATACGTGTTCTCAATTAAGGCACTAACTTCAAATTTTCAGCCTGAAGTTTTGGATAAAAAAAATATGTGCCCTATGACTCCTATGAGTAAGACGTGCAAATCATTTTTATGATTGGAAAATTTCGATACAGTACATCAGTATTTCGACGATGAAATTTATCAACAGTTGTATGTTTAATTGGCATTGTTGTATGTTCGCTTAAACTGATTCTAAATGCCATTGAATTTCAAGTGAATGCAGTTCCAGAAATTATTTTCAAGCCGTTGTAATTTTTCCCATAAAAGTAATCATGAATTTTGAGATGCTCCTAACCTTTTTTCCAGTAGATCGAAACCCATACTGCATATTCATAATATGCTTGAACCCGTCTTTACTAGAATTTTGAAAAAAAAAGTTCAGGTGGTATTAATGTACAGTAAATGCAAACCCCGGAATTCGTTTGCATTGAACTTTTGTGAGTTTACTTCGGAGCTGGGGCAATATTTTTTCCCTCTGATGACACACCCTTTTGAAATTTAGTCCACTCTTTGTCCACGTCAAGAACGTTTAGTTTCCTTTTAAAACCTCCAATACCCACATTTTAAGTATGGAAAAAGCAATTTTCTCCTTATTGAACATATAGATTTTCGAAAATGCCAAGCGGAAGGGCGCAAAGAAGTGCGTGACCTGGGCAGTGATGTTCAAGACTCGAAGGCAGGCGAGGTCAGTTGTTCGCTACTTGGGCGGCCAGGGTCACGATGTGCGTCTCGCCGACGAACCCGAATTGTCGTACACCAACGTCTACATTGCCAATTTACCGGAAGACGTCACTCAGCAGGACATTGAGAAACTCATGTCCAATTATGGC